CCTCCAGGGGGGATCAATCCCCCCCAGGAGTGACTGCTCATCTGCCCAGTGGTTGCCAGCATTCCACCCCAACCACCTCCTGCAACACCTCCCGGGGGGGATTAATCCCCCCCACCTCCTCCAACACCTCTCGGGGGTCAATCCCCCGAGGAGTAACGGTTTGGCAACTCCGTGCGCATGCCACCGGTCCTTCACCACCACCTCCTCCAATACATTCCGAGGGGATTAATCCCCCCACCACCTCCTCCAGCACCTCCTAGGGGATCATTCCCCACCCCCCACCCCCAGGAGTGATTGCTTGACTGCCTGCCCAGTGGATGCCAGTGTTCCGCCCCGACCACCTCCTCCAACACCTCCCTGGGGGATCAATCCACCCCAGGAGTGACTGTTTGGCTACTCTGTGCGTATATGCCAGCCGTCCTCCCTCACCACCTCCTCCAACACCTCCAGGGGGGATCAATCCCCCACCACCACCTCCAACACCTCCTGGGGGGATTAATTCCCCCCCCCAGGAGTGACAATTTGGCTACCCTGTGTGTATGCCAGCTGTCCTCCCTCACCACCTTCTCCAACACCTCCTGGGGGGATGAATACCCCCACCCCCATTGATCATATCCTCAGCTGATGAAACCATTGATCATATCCTCAGCTGTTGCAAGAAAAATGCACAAACAAGGCACAACTCTGTAGCCCAAATGATTCACTGGAACTTACGTCACAAGTACTACTGCCAGCAGTAAAGAATTGGTGGGATCATAAACCCACAAAGGTCATGGAAAATGAACATGCAAAAATACTGTGGGACTTTCAAATCCAGATTGACAAAGTTTTGGAACACAATACACCAGACATCACGATTGTGGAAAAGAAAAACGTCTGAAGTATTGATTTTGCCATACCGGGTGACAGTCGCATTGAGGAAAAACAATAGGAAAAACTCAGTTGCTTTCAAGACCTCAGCTGTTTTCAATTGAACTGCAAAGGCTCTGGCATAAACCAGTACAGGTGGTCCCAGTGGTCATTGGTACACTGAGTGCCGTGCCAAAAGATCTCAGCCGGCATTTGGAAATAATAAATATCAACAAAATCACAATATGTCAACTGCAAAAGGCCACCTTACTTGGATCTGCGCGCATCATTCAAAAATACATCATACAGTCCTAGACACTTGGGAATTGTTCGCCTTGTGATTTTGTGATACGAAATCCAGCATATAGATCTTGTTTGCTGTGGCATACTGTGCTTTTGTGTCAGTAAAATAATAGTAATAGTAATAATTATATTTCTTACCTGCCTCTCCTTGTGGCTCAAGAGTTTGTAAGAAGGAAATTGATTATAAGTACTAAGCTGGGCTATGTGAATAAGAGTTTCCTTTTACATGCTTTAGGAGAAGGGAAGTACATAAGACTCCCAGTTAAGTGGAACTCATGCAACCCAAATTCCTAATCAACCAAGAAAAAATGTAACTAAAATTGCATACTGCATTCACAGTTGTTTTTATAATACAGTAAAACTGTATTAGATTAAGTTACATTTGCATTGTCTGACTTAATTTGCTTTTAATTCTAGTATTTCAAAATTAATATCAAGTCAATACAAGAGTTTATGGTATGTTTTAGTTATATATATACACACACACTATATATGGGGTATAATATTAGTTAGACCTATTTTTAATAGTGACTCTCAAGCAATCAGAAACTGCATTTATCTGACATCTACCAATCCCCATGGGTGCCAGTTAACTGAGAGTCTACTGTAGGAGGAAAATATTTGTGGTGCTTATTGGAACTGGACCAGAAGCCATTTCTACAAGGATCTGAAGAGGAACAAAAGAGGAAAAGAGATGTTGCCTTAAGTGAATTGCTCTCCCCATTGAAGGACTAAAGGTGACATTCAGCAACCACTCTCCATGCATAAAATTGATCTCACTATAATAGGTAGACTTCTGATATTGTGACTAATCCAGCTTCTCACTGTTTGATTTTATGATGCCCAAGCCCATTTCAATTTATTTAAAATGGCCCTTTTTTCCATGTCAGCAATCCTGGGAGATTAAAATCAGCAATCCATAGAAAAGATAAAATAACTAAGCTGAAATGAGTCAAGTCAAATAATAACATTAAGATAAACAAAAACATTCAAATGTTCACCAAATTAGATCCTGTAACTGAGGAACCTTTTCATAGGTGAGATGATCCAAGGCCACAGAAATAATAATAATAATAATAATAATAATAATAATAATAATAATAATAATAGGATCAATGCTAATTACTGGTCAAGGCTGCAGAACCAATTTGAATGTCATTCAGAAATTGAAAGCTAGGTTACCAGTTCAGGTACCTACAGTGCAAAAGAGTGACCTACTAAGGAAAGGACATGAATAAGATATTATTTCAAAGACTTTCTCACAATAGAAGAAAATGTTCTTCAAGTAGGAAACTAAAGGCTTGAGCCAGCATTTCTTCCTCCCAGGTGGAGTGAAACATTTTTGTATAGAGTTACTCAGAGTCCACAATCTACTTTGGGTGGAGAGTAGGAGCAATCTTTCCCTGTTCTCCATCTTCTGGATACCCTAGTCCAGCTGTGTACCCATAGGAATGGTTAGGAAAAGGTTAAGTGAGAGGCAGTGGACAGGGTCATGCAAATTTGGAGAGAGATGAACCTTGGGATGTCCATTCTGGATTAAAAACAGAACATCTAAGATGAAATGGACTCTGAATGAAAGTGTTCCTTGGGTGGAAAGAGGAAAGCTGGAAAAGAAGAAAGAACAATATGAGAGAATACAAGAAGATATAAGAAGACAACCATCAGATCTGAAACCAATTGATAATATCCCTTTTCTCTTTGCTGTAGAGGACATAACAAACTTGTAATACTTTAAGTAATGAAAATGAGTCTAATGGAAATGACAAATTAGATGTAATAATCATAACTATGTACATTGCCTTTTCTCTTGTCTCCTCACACCTTCCCCCTGTGAAATATTACATATTGGTAAAGATTTGATTTACTAACAAGAACTCCCAAAACCCTTTCTCCCCCTTTTCATTCTCACCCAACTTTCACACCTCTCTCCCTTGTATGTGTGTGGAAAAAAATTGGAAATGTCATATATGTATGGGTGTAGATAGATGATAGAGAGAGAGAGAGAGAGAGAGATGGGGAGATAGATAGAGAGATAGAGAGATAGGGAGATGAAAGAAAGAATTCTAGCAGTGGATGAATGACAAGAAAATGTAATGCCTACCATGGCCACTGGAGTGTACCCAATCTCTACTGGAAATGAGAGCCAGTTAGAAGACAGGAAGAATAGGATGGTTTTCTTACCTTATTCCACACAGCTCTCCCACCCTTCCATTTCTTCTTTAGCTTTCAAGATTGCGCTGATGCTAGCATGTAAGATTGGGAAGAAGGAAAGGAGCCCAGCTCTTCTATCTCCTTCTTTCTCATATTGTACCTTCGTAACCGTGAAGCCAACAGGAAATTGAAAGTTACCAGGGAAGACCAAGAGCTCAGACACTGAGCACACCAAGCATGAAGCCAACAGGAAATGGAAAGTTACCTGGGAAGGCCAAGAGCTCAGACACTGAGCTCGCCAAGCGTGAAGGCAACAGGACATTGAACGTTACTTGGGAAGGCCAAGAGCTCGGACACTGAGCCCACCAAGCGTGAAGCCAACAGGAAATTAAAAGTTACCTGGGAAGCTAAGAGCTCAGACACTGGGCCTGCTAAGTGTGAAGCCAACAGGAAATGGAAAGTTATCTGGGAAGGCCAAGAGCTCGGACACTGAGCCCGCCAAGCGTGAAGCCAACGACAGTGGAGATTTTGTAAAATTATTATATTATTATTCCATTAAATCCTGTGATGGTAGGGGTTTATATGAAATGAGATGGTGGTGGTGATGATGATGATGATGATGATGATGATCAGATCAAAAACAATGATGCTGGGGGTTTATATGGAATTCTTATTCTTAAAATCAATGATGGTAGGCGTTAGATGAAATGTTATTATAACATAACTATGCTGTTATTAGGAAGCATACTATACTCAGTCATACAAAATACAAAGATAAAATATTGTCATTTTCTATTGTATAATGTGCCTCACCTGTGAAACATTTTATTTGCCTGTACTTACTTATGGCAGCGTGCATGCCATTGTAGCTAGAGATCTAGAAAGTCTTCCCAGTTAATTTTGAACTGTGAATTTTAAATGTGCATTCCATTGATATCATGTAAAATATTTTAATACTAGATAGTTTAGTATCTATATGGTTCCAGCCCAGCCTACTTATCCGAACATATCTCCCTCTACGTTCCACCTCATGATCTAAGATCTATTCAACTATCATGCCCTTTAAAACAGTTTATCATTTCCCTGGTGCAGTGCAATTCTAGGAATATTTTCTTGGAAGTGGGTGCAGTTAAGTTCATTGGAGCTTCCTTCTCTATGTATGTGTATTACAGCCAAAGCATCTTAACTAGATAAGGAGTGGGAGATCCCAAATTTTTATATATAATTTTAACAAATTGTGTTCATAACCTTAATCTAAACCTATGATGGTGGTTTATCACCCTAAATCCACTTTCTTATCCAGCTGGAATAGATCTACTGAATCAGTTGCTTAAAGATAAATCGGTGCCTCTTTAAATCCCACCGATTCAAGGAAGAGATAGACAGCACACCCAGCCTCACACTCTCAAACATCTGAGATTTAATTCAGGTTAGAACCTACATGTTTGTACCAGTTGGTGTTCTCCAAATTTCTTCAACGTATGAGCAAGTTATTTTCTCTACTTGTAAAAGTACCACTTATGTATAGACTGACATGATTTGCGTGTTTCTCTGCCATTGGCTATAACATACTAAATGTCTTCATCTGTTTTTTTTTTATTTCAGAACTATGAAGAAAAAATGATTTTTTTTGGACTTCCGGTGGGGCAGCATGGCGGTAGGAGTGCCTTGCTGAGGCTCCTCGGAACCACGCAGAGCTTGTAGCTCCCCTCCTCAGCCGGATCGAGTGCTGAGGGGATGCGAAACCGGGTAGGAGGGGTAGCGAGAATCAAAAGAACTGGAAGAGAACAAAGACGGAAGGGAGAATGGAGAGCAGGGCGGGAGTGACGGAGTGGCGAGACGCGAGAGTAAGGGCGGAAGTGAGGAAAGAGCGAAGGCGGAGGGATGGGAGTGATACGAAGCAAGAACAAAGAAAGAAGGGTGGAAGTGGAGAGGTGGAGAGAGAAGAAAGTGCAGAGCAAAGGGCAGAAGCGATGGGACGCAAGAAAGAAGTATTAACAAGATAGAGAAGAACTGAAACAAGAGGAAAGGAAAGGGAAAGGGAAAAGAGGAAGAAAAAGTAAGAAAGGAGAAAGGTATAAGGAGGATACTCCAGACATTATATAATGATATATAGTGATATTAATTAATTGATAAGGAATTGGACTTGGATTTGATGGATATAGGAAGCAAATATTACTATTATTATTATCAATATTAAGCACCTTATCACTTATTGTCTATCATCAATTATATATACAGTTTAATTAGCAATTAATTTATAACTCAACAGATAGGGTAGTAGTAGGAGGATATATTTATATATATAGGATAATAATCAATTAACAAAGAAATCAACTTGGAATGGACTGACATAGGATACAAGGACTATGACTATGATTAATTATTAATTGTCATATATCATCATTTATCTACCTCAACAAGATTAATTAATCATTTATCTACCTCAACAAGAAGAATAAGGAATTGAAGAGGATTTAAAAAAAGGGGACAGCAAACAAGCATAAGCTAAGAAATAAAATGGGAAGTTATTGAAGAAATAAAAGAAAAAATATATAACAGATAAGTTGAGAGTAATATAGACAAACTGTTATTTCTCTCCACAACAGCAGCTAGAATATGTGACGCTAGAATGTGGAGAAAAAAGGAGACGCCCACAATTGAAGATTGGAAGAGGAAGATTTTGGACGTTAAGAATATGGACAGGCTAAGTTATTTATTACAAAGATATAAAGGGATAGTAAAAAAAGAAACAGATTGGACATTATTTGATGAATATCTAAGATAACAGATGTTAAAGGGTTAAACAGCTTTTTGATAAAGAACTAACACATATTTCTTATTCCTCTGAAATAATTTATGTAAGATATGAAATGAGATCTACGAAACATCGAACCTCGAAGGAAAAGGAAGAAACCAACCTTGAAGGACCCTGGAAGTCAGACTGAAGAAGAAGGAACTTTTAGATTTTCTTTTTGGTTTTTTCCCCGGTTCTTGTTTTAAATTCCCGAACCCCCTTCCCACCACTCCACTCCCACACACCCCTTCCCCTTCCCTTCCCTACATCTCCTCCCCTTTTTTTCTTTTTCTTTTCTTTTTTTTCTCTCCCTAGAAAGTGCTTTTATCTATTATGTACTGTGAAAACTTAATAAAGAATATTTAAAAAAGAAAAAGAAAAAAATGATTTGCCATTTCCGGGTTGGTGTGATGGCTGCAGGACAGTTTCCGCAGAGACCGCAGGGCGACCTGCCGACGGTCCTAAGAGACACTCTCCCCTCAAGGGTGGTGTCCAAAGGACCCGGCAAAGGTGGTCCACAGGGCATAGCGGATCGTGCCGGGGCGAGCTAGGGTCCAAAGATAGCCTAACAAAGGAGACAGAAAATCATTGACTCCATAGCAGAGGGGGGAAAGATAGAAAGAAGATAGTTTAGGCATAATAAAATAATGCTGCAGGATTTGGACTTCCACAAGTGTTTTTAAGTTGAGATGCAGCCACTTTCAGTGGCTTTCCCCAGGGTCAGTTGCAAGTGTTGTGTGGGTGCTCACCTAAAAGGCTAGTGTTGATGCACCCTAAGTCTTCTTTATGAAGGCTTCAAGAGGGGTGCTGAAGTTTTCATGGACCTTGCTGATCGGGACCTCTCTCATTTGCAGCTTCTTCGGAAACATGCAACGACGGAGCGAGAGGTTGGCTGCCCTCCAGCCAGTTTCCTACAGAGAAACAGGAGTCAAGAGGTAAGATTTGTTTATGTATTTATCATATCAGAAGCAAACTGAGGGTACAGTAATGTATTTTTAAAAAATAGAGTTTAAAAACTTGGCATTATTCTAAATGTCCTTTGACCAGTGGCTGTCCACTTGGAGTGCCTCTGCTGTCGCTGTGAGAAGGTCCTCCATTGTGCAAGTGGCAAGGCTCGGGCTGCATTGGAAGAGGTGCTTTGCTCTTCTCCACACTCACATGTCGTGGACTCCACTTTGTAGCCCCATTTCTTAAGGTTGGCTCTGCATCTCGTGGTGCCAGAGCGCAGTCTGTTCAGCGCCTTCCAAGTTGCCTGGGGGGGAGGGGGGAGGAGTATCTTCATCCAGTCTCAACCATGGCTTGGAGTTCCAGGTTTTAGTCTGCCAATTTTGGACTCTCATTTGCTGAGGTGTTCCTGCAAGTATCTCTGTAGATCTTTAAAAAATATTTCTTGATTTGAGGCATGCTGATATCTGAACAGAGGATGGGCCAGAGATGTCACTGCCTTGGTCCTTTCATTATTGGCTTCTACTTCCCAGCAGATGTCAGGTGGTGCAATACCGGCTAAACAGTATAATTTCTCCAGTGGTGTTGGGCATAGACATCCTGTGATAACGCAGCATGTCTCATTAAGAGCCACATCCACTGTTTTAGCGTGTTCCACACTGAGCATGCATACTCAGCAGCAGAGTAGCGAAGCGTAAGGACAGATGTCTTCACTGTATCAGGTTGTGATCCCTGGGTTGTGGCAGTCTGCTTTCGTATGATATTGTTTCCAGTCCCCACTTTTTGCTTGATAGTCGAGCAGTGCTTCTTGTATGTCAGAGCATGGTCCAGGATAACTCTCAGGTATCTGCGTGTGCTGCAATGCTCCAGTGGGATTCCTTCCTAGGTCATCCTCAAAGCTTGAGATGCTTGTCTGTTCTGAAGACAAAAAGCACACGTCTGTGTTTTAGATGGATTAGGAATCAGCTGGTTTTCCCTGTAATAGGCAGTAGCCTAAGATAATCCATTAGGCTGATTTCTGTAAGACTCACATGGAAGGCCAGCTTTTATTTGAATGTATGTAGAACCTAACCCATCATATTTGGGCAACAAGGGATCGTCTAAGTAAGCAGTTCTCAGTGTCTATGCCACAGTTTTCAAGGCTATCTTTAATCCCATCTTTATATCTCTTTTCCTGTCCACCAACATTATGTTTCCCATTCTTGAGTTAGAAGTATAGTAACTGCTTTGGGAGACGGTGATTGGGCATTTGGACAACGTGGCCAGTCGAAAGGAGTTGATGGCATAGGAACATTGCTTCAGTGCTAGTGATCTTTGCTTTTTCCAGCACACTGACATTTGTCAGCCTGTCTTCTCAAGAGGAAACGCTGATGGAATCGTTCCAGGAATTGAGTATGACGTCCACGTTTTGCAGGCATAGAGCAGGGTTGCAAGGACAATAGCTTTATAAACAAGCACTTTGGTCTCACTACGGATGTCCCAGTCCTCAAACACTCTGTGCTTCATTCAGAAAAATGCTGCTCTCGCAGAGCTCAGGCAGTGTATTTTGGTGTCAATGTTGACTTTCGTGGAGAGGTGGCTGCCAAGGTAGCGAAAATGGTCAACATTTTCTAATAATACACCATTAAGCTGTATTTCTGGCATTGCAGAGGGATTAGCTGGTGACTGCTGGAAGAGCACCTCCGTTTTCTCAAAGTTTAATGAAAGGCCAAGCTTCTCATATGCTTCTCCAGCGTCTCCACAATGGTGGAGAGAATAGAGGGGTTGGTGCTTCTTTTGGGGTCTTCCGGCACAGTGTAAGCTCTTACCTTTCACCAAATGCCCGATCACCATCTCCCAAAGCAGTTACTATATTCCCAACTCAAGAATGGAAAACAGAATGTTGGTGGACAGGAAAAGAGTTGAGGTACAGTCATGTAATGATCTATGAAGTCCACACACATGTGGCAAATGGTATTAATGCAGAAGAACCCATGAGTTAGGAGAGGTTGCAGCAGTTTGCTTTTGCCTGAACCTTTTGCAAAGGGCAAGATTTCACCCTCCTCTCCTCTCTGTGGAGATAATGGAGTGCAAACTAGTTTTGGACTTTGAAGTCAGTTGGCAGCAGTTGAAGTCAGCTGAGAAGCAAAAGGGACAATGGGAAGAAGAGAGGAAAAAGTGGGGGTGACAAGAGGATGATTTGGGGCGGTCTTTGCCAAATCAGGGCAGCAGGAGAGTATGGGAAGGGAAGCAGAAGAAAACCCCAAGGTTCTTTTGAGCGTACAAACCAGGATCTTCTTTTTCAGGGTCTTCAAAAAGATCCACAGGAGAAGCTGGTCTTCTGCTGCTATGAGAAGAGTATGACATGACGGACAGCATCCCTTGCTGTAGTAAGTGTATGTTCGCTGGCCTTGGGGTGAACTTGCCCATTCAAACGTTCAGCAAGGTTTGCTTTTCTGCAATTGGCCGCTGGTGGGGTGGGAGAGAGTGGCTCCTCTGTCACTTGGAGGAGGAACCCACTCTGGGTTTTATCCCATTTTCAAAGATACACCAAATCCATTTGGCCTTTTAAATACGGTATTTACCACTACATCACATAAGTTAAATTCCACTTAAAATCTGGTTAAATTTAAAATCTGGTTAAATTTAAGTGTTAAATTATACTTAAAATCTGGTAATCCACTGGGTTAATCACATTAATTTGGGTTAAAGTGTAGAGTATAGCATTTTTTAGTCTTTTAAACATTGGTGGGGGGGGGGGGCAGTATTATTTTCCAAAGTGTCAGGAATAATAATAGTAATAGTAATAGTAATACCCCACTTCTATCTCCCCAAAGGGACTAAGGGAGGCTTACATGGGGTGAAGCCTGATCAATACAGTTAAAATGTAACACATTAAAATGCATAACAACAGTATAAAACAAAGTAAAACAACAACATTACAACAATACATAAAAACAGGCATCAAAACCAACAACCAATAAGATTCAATTTCTCGTCATGGGTGGGTGGACTGGTACAACAACAATGTAAATGATGGAGCTAGTGCATAGGTCATATGGTAGCAATAAGGATAAGAGCTATGTAAAATAGGTCATTATAGCTTTGGATAGAAAACAATAGTAAAGTGTGAGGGCAAGATTTTGAACCTACCTGGGGCCAGCTATCTAGGGCATTGTCAACCAATGAGCAACCAAGACTCATTGGCTTAGCAAAAGATCTGTCCTTGGTTCAGAGGGCAACTGTCTCCATTGGTATGAGAGTATCGCTCAAGAAAGCTGCTTAAGTTTATAGCTGTTGGGAATTGTCATGTTAGGCCTTTGAAACACTAAAACGCCAGAGATGCAGGAATTAAAAAAACACATTCTTACATTGTAGAATTTGTGAACACTGTTCAATTTCCATGAACAGTGACTAACCAATCTTTTCTTTTCTTAGCCTCCACTTGGACCACACCCAAATGATGGCCCAGGATGGGGCTGCTTCTCCTGGCACTGCTCTTCCTTTTTGGGATCTGCTTACGTGAGTGCCATAGTTTGTACCCAGGCCCAAAGGCTGCTGTGGTGGCCCACAAGGGTGGTAATTTGAAAAATAAGTCCAAATATCCCCCCCCCCCCCATCATTTAAGGAAGAAGTTACCTTACCATTTAGGTAAGGGACATCAATCTAACACACCACTGCAGAAATGCAGATGGGTTTTTGAATCATTCATAGTCCCTAACACGGTTCCTCCTTCCCTGTAGGATTCATGCCTGGACTCAAGATCCAAAAGACTGTCCATCTGAGGTAAAGAGATTCCCCAACTGACAGTAAGAGGACAAAGCCTTACGCCGTCCCACCATTTTCCCTGCTGTCCCTCCATGTGATGTAATCTTTAATATTCCCCATGATGTCCTGATTACTTTTTATGAGTGATATTTTGTTTTGGTTGCATAGGCATTCACTTCTGCCAGCCCTCCTTTGCTAAGCCCAGGAGGAATCCTCCCCTCAGTTATGAACAGGCCTAAGGGTGATACGTTGACTATTTGGACTGTTTGTGTCATTTCTATCTAGGGAAGAGTATGAAGTTGTACCACAAAATCCAGACAGGGAAATGGATGCTTCCCATCTTCAAGCGCCTGAGATCGACATTTCTACAAATGCTGTTGAACATATTAAGAAAAATGTAAAAGAAGAAATGGTAAGGGCATAAAATTGATGATGTGCCTTACTTTCTCTCTCTCTCTTTCCAATGCAAATGCATCAGGAAGGGATATTTTAGCGTCCACAGTAATATGTTTCTGTAGAAACTACACAGCGTTAACTCTATAATATTGACAGTCTGTGGTTATGCGGAAATGTTTATGGAAACCACAATAATGCCTTGGAATGCATAAGAAACCTGGAACTGTTCAGATCTATTCAACAGTGTATGTCTGTTACACAGATTATTTATTTATTTATTTATTTTATACACTTGTATACCGCTAATATCTCAGCCTAAATCGGTGACTCATTGTGGTTTACAACAATTAAAAAACAATCCATTACATTGGTATATTACATTTTTAACAAAACAAACAAACAAACAGACAAAAGACAAAGTTTGCAAGCTTGGCAGTTAATTAAACGTCCTTTGACCAGATTCTGGCCACTTGGAGTGCCTCTGGTGTTACTATAAGAAGGTCCTCCATTGTGCATGTAACAGGGCTCAGGTTGCATTGCAGCAGGTAGTCAGTGGTTTGCTCTTCTCCACATTCGCATGTCGTGGATTCCACTTTGTAGCCCCATTTCTGAAGGTTGGCTCTGCATCTCGTGGTGCCAGAGCGCAGTCTGTTCAACGCCTTCCAAGTCGCCCAGTCCTCTGTGTGCCCAGGGGGAGTCTCTCATTTGGTATCAGCCATTGGTTGTGGTTCTGGGTTTGAGCCTGCCACTTTTGGACTCTCGCTTGCTGAGGTGTTCCAGCGAGTGTCTCTGTAGATCTTAGAAAACTATTTCTAGATTTAAGTCATTGACGTGCTGGCTGATACCCAAACAAGGGATGAGCTGGAGATGTCACTGCCTTGGTCCTTTCACTATTGGTTGCTACTTCCTGGCGGATGTCAGGTGGTGCAATACCAGCTAGATAGTGTAGTTTCTCCACTGGTGTAGGGCGCAGACACCCCGTGATAATGCGTGTCTCATTAAGAGCCACATCCACTGTTTTAGTGTGGTGAGATGTGCTCCATACTGGGCATGCATACTCAGCAGCAGGGTAGCATAGCGCAAGGGCAGATGTCTTCACTGTGTCATTGTGATCCCCAGGTTGTGCTAGTCAGCTTTCATATGATATTGTTTCTAGCACCCACTTTTTGCTTGATGTTCAGGCAGTGCTTCTTGTAGGTCAGAGCACAGTCCAGAGTGACTCCCAGGTACTTGGGTGTGCTGCAATGCTCCAGTGGGATTCCTTCCCAGGTGATCCTCAGAGCTCCGGATGCTTGTCTGTTCTTAAGGTGAAAAGCACATGTCTGTGTTTTAGATGTATTAGGGATTACATTGGTGTTCCTCATCAATCAGGAACCATAAACAATCAGGGATCACAAAATGGACACTTGGGAATGTATGTGATGTGACCCCTTTTGTTGTGGCTCCATTTACTCCACCTGGGGCATGGGAGGAGATAATGGAAGTGAAACTGCATTGTGAAACTGTATTATCTAGTTGGGACTTTAGACAGCCTCTTTAGGGCTCAGGTTGAAACCTACTCCAAGTCTGTACAGGACTGTGATGGCTGGTTAGAGTCTACATAGTTCAGTCCAAACCACATTGGTCCCAAGAGCCGACTCTTTACCTTCTCTGATGCCACCATCCTTCTTCTTGATTTGACTCCATGGGCCCCTCTCTTGAGGCCAGACCCACCCCTTCTCCTTGTGCTGATTGGGGCAGGGAAAGGGCGATTGATGGTGGAGTGCCCTCTAGAGACAGTGCCATGGTCCAGTGTAGACCTGGTCCTGCTTTCCTCTCTGTCCCGAAGCTGAGGGATACTCCCAAGACATTGACTAATGCAGACCAAAGCCATATTAACCTGGTTTACTCTACAATGCTCACTGGGAGCGGAGAAATGTCATGAAGACAGCCATGATTTAGCTCACAGAATTCCCCGGCTGACCAAGATAAATGTGGGTGCGTATTGTACAGAAGGGCCAGTGAAGGGGTAGAGTTTAGGGAAAGAAGCGTCCTTTCCTTCCTCTCCCCATACCTGTCGGTTTAGCTTTGAAGTTGGGTGCCGCAGAGGAAAGAGAAATCCCATTATCCCTGTGCACGCCACATTGTTTACTGGCATACACTCCCCTTAGGACTTGACTAACAGCAACTTTGTATTTTGGCAATATTGTGACATCTTGCAACCCAAAGACCGCAAAGAACCTAACGACTACAAAGAAGCAAGCGACGATAACACCGTAAAGGAAGATTTCGCTTTGAAACCTGTAGGTAAGTTGAGGAAGCCTTTCATTGGAAATGCATTCCATCTTCCTTCCTTTCCCTGTCTTAGGGGACATTATTGCAGCCACGTGGTCCCCCTTTAATTGCTATGGCCCCATCATAGGGAGGACTCTGTAGTGTGGACTCTGTAATCTGTTCCTCTAGCAGGGAACTCAAGCCTTTGGTCCAACTCCTGTGCCGTTACACCCAGACGCTTTTAAAAACAAAACTATGATGTGCTCTTCCCTATGCCTGGGCAAACTGCCAGTGCTTTTCTTGAGAAGATTGAGATTCTCAGCAACTGAGTCTATTACAAGTTCTGAACTTCAAAAAAGGATATTTATTTCTCAAAGTTGCAAACAGAACAGTCAATTGATAAAACCAAATAGATATTTCTTCTCTCTCTTCTCCACCAATTACTGAGTCAGCCTTTCCCCAAGTGGCAAAAGGGTCCAGGGATCCTTCACTCTAATCCAGAGCTGTTGTCTTTTAGAAAGAACAAATCTTTCCCTATCTAAGCTCCAGATTAGCCTTGGAGATAAGGCAATGCAGTCTCTCTCTCTCTCTATAAGACTCTATAAAACTCAATTCTCAAAGCTCAATATCTATTTTTCTTTATACTTTATAACTCTCTTATAATCTATCTAACTATAGCTCAATTCTTCTCAATAAACTTCTCTATTTTAATTTCTCAATTCTCAATTGTTCTCAATAATTCTCAATATTTTTTACAGTGGTTTGTCGTAACTACCTGTCTGGCCACCAGCACATCAGATTCCTTCTTCAGAACTGAACAGGCAGGGAGGACTCCAAAATGGAAGAAAGGCAAATTTTGCAAACACATTTATCAATTGGCCATTTATTCATTTCCAGGCAGGGTGATAGTAATCAACTCTTCAAAATCTGACAATATACTTCTAGGATGTCCTTCTTGCCATTGTGTGAGTTTTTACTTGCAAACCCAGAAGAAAAAGAACAGAAACTCCAGGCCTCACACCTTAGCCTTGCTTTCTTCTATGCCACTTTAAGGGGGTCTCTGTCTCTCTCGGAAATGATGATATGGATCTTGTTCTCAAGGTGCAGAGCCAGGGCTTGTTGCAGCTCCAACAGAAAGCCTCGTTCGGTGTTGCTGTGCTCACACAGAATCACAGTTATTCCTTTGGAAACCGCATCCAATACATCATGGTGTGACATCTCTCCTATCAAGGCAATCAAGATGAGGTCTATTATGAGAAGATTGAGCTACAATTTAGAATAGTGAATAGTACTTCAGGACAAAGAGGTCAACAGTTTTTGCTTCTTACTGAGTCAATGTAGGGGCTTACTGAGAACCTTTACAGCCAACGTGTGATGGGATGCTAAATAATAATCACAAAAATAAATACCTGTGCTGGGTTTATGACTAATTTCATGTGATGCATAAAGATATATGATGAATGGTTTGAATGAAATTGTATGAAAGATGTATGGTTGGGGGCTATATAGTCTAGAGATGCCATCCTAAGGAATGAGGCTTGGAAAACTACAAGAAGGAGGTGAAGAATTCATAGACTATAATTAAAAGTTGCTGGCATTGGTGACCAGTGATTATGATTAACTGTTGAACTTTTGGTTGGAAACAACGTGTTTACATTATCAGAGACAATGGCTCTTTAAGTTAAGGAAATGTTTACAATGTTCCCTACGTTAGAAAGGAAGTCAACACAAGGCTCCTTACGTTTACCAACATCAATTAAGGAGAGTCAACATCTGCCAGGAACTAAGATGAAGCCAGGATGTTTCGGGCCAGAAAAACACCCATCATTCATTTACATCTTTGAAACATCAGCAGAATATTCCTATAAAAGACTCAGCCTAATCATTTTCAAGTGTGACAGACAGCTGTGCTGTTCACCCGTCGTGCTCTATTGAAAGAGATGGTGTACCTTAGGTGTGCCCAATCTGCTACAGGAAAGGAGGATTCTGGACACTTGGCTCCTTTTCTCAAAGGAAGAGAATAGAGCAGTGGTTCTCAACCTGTGGGTCCCCAGATGTTTTGGCCTTCAACTTCCAGAAATCCTAACAGCTGGTAAATTGGCTGGGATTTCTGAGAGTTGTAGGCCAAAACACCTGGGGACCCACAGGGTGAGAACCACTGGAATAGAGTGTGATTTTGGAGTCATGATACATCAGTTTCTGGTGTAGGAAAAACGGGGATCAGATCCTTGGCATTGTTCATAGGGAAAGAGGATGCATTTTGGCATTTTAGAAAGTTTTGGAAGTATTGGAAAAGTGGCAGATTTGCAATTAAGCAGTCTGGCCTAAAAGATATTCTTCTACATGAGATGACGGAAGAAGAATGGTGATGGATGCATGAGGATGGATGAATGTGTATGGTTAATGTGAATGCTGAGTAGAAATGTAATTCCCCTTTGTTTGTACGCCAATGTAACTGTAGGTTGTTTGTGGATTCAATGTAGTTACATAGAATCTGTATATCTGTATGTTTAAATGTTGTTCTGTAAAAGTTCTGATACCCTTTCTCTTACTGGAAAATTGCAATAAAAGAACCTATGCATTAAAGTTATTGAAAAGCTATTCCTAACATTCCCATACATCCATGAAAGCACATGGGCAGGCATATAGGAGTGCATGAGCTTGTGCGTGGCTACTATATCCCCATTAGACTTTTGTATCTTTTCCATACAAGTTTATTTATTTATTTACAGTATTTATATTCCCCGCAGGGAACTCAGGGCGGATTAGAATGTACACATATATGGCAAACATTCAGTGCCAAAGACATACAACAGAAACAGACAAACAGTCAGAGGCTATTTAACTTTTTCTGGCCGCCAGGGGAGCTGTCACTTTCATCATCCATCTGCGACGCTGATGTAGTACTTCCGCATTTCCCACATGCTTTTGCTGGAGTGCTTTGCTGGAGTCTTTTTAATGGCCTCGTAAATTTTGTTAAATTAGCCTCCCCACACATAGGTGGTACCTAATTTTCCTACTTGACAGATGCAACTATCTTTTGGGTTGCAAAGGTCGACAACAAGCTACACAATTGGTCGGAAGCTCACTCTGACCCGGGCTGGCTTTGAACTCATGACCTTGTGGTCAGAAGTGATCTTAAGGCATATAGGTGTGCATGGGCTTGTACGTAGCTACTATATCCCCACTACACTTTTGTATCTTTTCCATACAAGTCACTTGCAAGTCAGCTTTAAGGTAAAGGTAAAGGTAGTCCCCTGACATTAAGTTCAGTCATGTATGACTCTGGGGTGTGGTGCTCATCTCCATTTCTAAGCCGAAGAGCCGGCGTTGTCCGTAGACACCTCCAAGGTCATGTGGCCGGCATGGCTGCATGGAGCGCCGTTACCTTCCCGCCGGAGCGGTACCTATTGATCTACTCACATTTGCATGTTTTCGAACTGCTAGGTTGGCAGAAGCTAGGGCTGACAGCGGAAGCTCACGCCGCTCCCCGGAATCGAACCTGAGACCTTTCGATCAACAAGCTCAGCAGCTCAGTGCTTTAACCCACTGTGCCACCGGGGGCCCTGACTTTAGTCTTCCTTAATTAGATTTGCTTGTGCAAATGATAATTTGGCAGGATGAGGGGCATTCATAGCTTTTATTTGTTTTTATGTGAAAAAGAAAAAAAATATGTAAATCAGGTTTTAAAAATTGACTGAAAAAAAGATTAACTGCTGGGCAATTGGATAGAAAAATATGTCTCTTACACTGATTTAGTGTTGATATCTCAAAGTTTTTCTACATGAACGGACAGTTCTTACCTGTGAGATAGAGATCACTTTCAGTACCTCGCAAAACACTGGCTCCTGAACCGGCACACAGAGCAACCACTTTCACCTGGGACTCTGCAAACGGAAACCAGTAGAGATAAATGCTGTACTCAACGAAGGTATATTTGACGTTATAGAAGAAACTGGTGTGACTTTTTCACTTAACAAAAAGATCAAGTTATAATCACCAGCCATTCTTTGGATTTGCTCCTCTTTTGAAACATTAAATACATTAAGCAGAGTAATTTGGCTATTGACAGAAATAATTTTGAAACAGTGTCAGCCAGTCTAGCGATTTCAGCCAGTCTCAGCTAGCTTCACCCATTTCACTCTACAACAGAAGAGATTCGTACGAGTTCTCAGCTCCAGGCCTAAACTGAGGAATGAATTTCACTGAACTTGGGATATTGCTCTTGGAATTATACTGTAAAAAGACACTCTCAAAACTGGATTCTCTACTAATACTGCAATAAATGTTATTGTAGTAAATACAAATTAGATAGATCTTTTGGATCTTTTAAAAATTATGTAGATTTGTGTCTAACATCTATCCCACACTATGAGAAAATGCAATCCTATACCCAATGATTTTCCTGTTCCAAGAGCGAGGCGAACATGAGGCAGTCTTAAATGGCTTTTCACTCGCTCCACCAAGATGGATATTGAGACGGGTTCCTTCAGCGTGCATAAACGTCCCATTCCTGTATCTGCAAGCAAAGGCTAAGAGGAAACAGATGTAAAGATTTTGTTTGGCCGTGTTTACACTAATATCTCTCTCATATTGATTATTTTTTTTATTTCATACACTTCTACCCTGCCCTTCTCACCCCCGAGGGGGGACTCAGGGCGGCCTCACACAAGCACCATACGATGCTATCACCATATAAACAATCAACAAATACATTGAAACAATTCATTAAAACAATACATTAAACATGCCAGTTAAAACCAAATCCAAGTCTGTTTTAATTCAGTGTCATGGGTTTCCTAAGTTTTCTTTCCAGTTGCCACTATCCACTAATTGAACGCCTGGTTCCAAAGCCAAGTCTTCACTTGTCTTATAAAGAACAGGAGGGAGGTGGCCAGTCTAATGTCCCTGGGGAGAGAGTTCCACAGATGGGGGGGGGGGGGGGGCACTGCCAAGAAGGCCCTGTCTCTCATCCCCACCAATTGCATTTGCAATGATGGTGGGATCGAGAGCAGGGCCTCTCGTGATTATCTTAAACTTAGTGATACATGAGATACATTTGGACAGGTAGTCTGGGCCAGAACTGTTTAGGGCTTTAAAAGGTAAAACCAGCACTTTGAATTGTGCTCGGAAGCTGATTGGCAGCCAGTGGAGCTGGAGTAACAGAGGAGTTGTATGCTCCCTGTACGCCACTCTGGTGAGCAACCTGGCTGCCGACCGTTGGACTAGTTGAAGCTTCCGGGCAGTCTTCAAAGGCAGCCCCATGTAGAGTGCATTGCAGTAGTCTATCCGGGATGTAAGAAGAGTGTGGACCAAGGTCAGACTTCCCAAGGTATGGGCGCAGCTGGTGCACAAGTTTTAATTGCGCAAAAGCTCTCCTCAGCAAATCATGGAGATGCAAATCTCATTTGAGAAGTATTATTTTCTCTCTCCTTCTGTGCTTTAAACCCTATGTACCAAAGGAATGAAAAAAAATCAATTAGGGAGCCTGACATATTTACTTACCAGCAAAAGCTACGACATTCAACAAGAGTAAAAAAAATATGCTGCATTTTTCTAGGGACAAGAGAGACTATGCTGCCCCATTCGTTCTGCCTTTGCCCTCCCCATTATACTTTGGTCTTTCGTTCTTCATATCTTAGCTAGATCACGCTATGGCAGACTGGGGGGACTGAGGCAGAGATTTGAGTTTAAGAGGCCATTTTAGTGTATTTATTTGTTTTTAACTTTTGTATTGCACTTTTAAAACTTGTCTAGTGTAGATTGTTAGCTGCCTTGTGTCCCCATAGGGAGAGGCGGGGCATAAACAACAACAATAATAATGGCAAATCTTGTGAAAATTTCTTTCTGTACATATATGGCTTACCTTCTGTAATGATATGATTTCCGTCTTACGATAAATATGGCTGTTCTGGGAAAGTAAAGTCATCACTTGCACCAAGGCCTGCTGGGTACAATTCAAACTAACCCGTGTCTGTTCATCCCCTTCGGCCCTTAGGGAAAAAAGGAGTTGCTTTAAAATCTGTTCTAATCTATCCATTCCATTTAGGATAGATTACATTTAAATGCGAGTTGTGTTACTCTCTTGAGAGGTTCTCCCATACTTGCTAGTATGGTACTCCACTGCCTTTGGCTTACAGAATCAACATCCATCTTATTAGCTCTAGCAAGCAAGGAGAACCAGTGGTTGGTACAACAACAACAACAAGAACAAGAACAACAAAACTTTATTTATATACTGCTCTACCTCACCGAGGGGACTCAGAGCAGTTTCCAAGTAACATCAGCAATACATAGAGTAAAGAACATAAACATAAAATTAACAAAGCAATATAAGTATAAAAAATTACAATACCGCATATATATTTAAAATAGTCCTGCCTGTTCAAGGCAATTTAAAAATTAATTGCCTTGAATTAAGCTTGTGCATCGGTAAGAAACATTAAGAACCTTAGATATGCAGATAACACCACTCTGATGGCCGAAAGCGAGGAGGAGCTGAGGAGCCTTCTAATCAAGGTGACAGAAGAAAGTGCAAAAGCTGGGTTGGAGTTAAACACCAAAAAAACCAAGATTATGGCAACCAGACTGATTGATAACTGGCAAGTAGAAGGAGAAAACGTGGAGGCAGTGACAGACTTTGTATTTCTAGGTGCAAAGATAACTGCAGATACAGACTGCAGCCAGGAAATCAGGAGATGCTTCCTTCTTGGGAGGAGAGCAATGACCAATCTTGATAAAATAGTGAAGAGTAGAGACATCAGACTGGCAAAGAAGATCCACATAGTTAAAGTAATGGTATTCCCCGTAGTAACCTACGGATGTGAGAGCTGGACCATAGGGAAGGCTGAGTGAAGGAAGATAGATGCTTTGGAACTGTGGTGTTGGAGGAAAGTTCTGAGAGTGCCTTGGACTGCGAGAAGATCCAACCAGTCCTTACTTCAGGAAATAAAGCCCGACTGCTCATTGGAGGGAAGGAAGGATAGAAGAAGTCAAGATGAAGTACTTTGGCCACATAATGAGAAGACAGGCAAGCTTAGAGAAGACAGTGATGCTGGGGGAAATGGAAAGAAAAAGGAAGAGACCAAGGGCAAGATGGATGGACGGTATCCTTCAAGTGACTGGCTTGACCTTGAAGGAGCTGGGGGTGGTGACACCCAGCAGGGAGCTCTGGCGTGGGCTGATCCATGAGGTCATGAAGAGTCGGAAGTGACTGAATGAATGAACAACACAAGCTTGTGCATGGATTTGATTTGGTTGGTTTCCTTAAGCCAATTCGGCTTGTTTGGCTGGCCGTAATGGTAAGGGCTCAGACGTCCGGGGTGTTTTTTTACTGAAACGGCCCACATGACTGCCAGGCATGGCTTCTTTCCTTCTATTTGGGAGTACATGGCGCATGCTTCCTTAACCGTGTTGCTCAAACCCAGGCTCCTTTGAAAGAAAGAAAGGAAAGGATCCCAGGAACGGAAAGGGGAGCCTTATAAGTTCCCTATTGTTGCCAATTCACCAGATCTTTTCTGATCTTTCAGCTGCCTAGCCAAAAACAGATTTTTCTATTAGCCGATTTTCGGGAGGCTGCTGAAAATGGATCTAGGTACCCAAAGAAATTTGGATACCAAAAATGGATCACCCTCCATCTGAATTGCACAAGCCTAGTACTGATGGGAGTTGCACTCTTAATAATATCTGAAGGGCCATTCATTTTCTGTCCCTGGCATACAGGGTGCTGCTATGCTCCAACTTGGCTCTCATGCTGCTGAATATCTGTAGGAAAGTATGAAAACTGGTTCTATTTCAACATGGCTTTCCACAATACTTTAAAAAGATTTTACTTTTGTAGTTTAATTTATATTAACTCGATTGTGTTAGAGTGCTGTAATTTCAAAATGTGTGACTCAGATTGATCATTTTTGAGAACGGAGAGTAGAAGCGGCAAAAATAGGACTATGTGTGTTGCAGGGGATGTTTGATTTGCAGGAACGTATCCAAAAAGGTAAGGACATGCTGGTCCGAGATTGCCATTTGCTCATGTGTCTATTTAGCTCAGTTTGAGCACCTGGACCATAAATGTGTAACATATGAAACCCAGAAAGGGTTCTAACACACATACACCCTGCTAAGACATGTGATAGTTCGTAGGCAAGAATAGAAAAGGAAGGGCCAGGGCCAGGGATAAATTACAACTACAGAATTAAGTATCTTTGCCTTTGTTATTATTACTAAACTCCTGCTGTGACCAGCCTTGAGCCATGGGGAGAGGTGGGTAAGAAATAATAATAATAATAATAATAATAATAATAATAATAATAATAATAACAACAACAATAATAGTTATTGATGTTGCCATGCCAGGTGACAGTTGCATTGAGGAAAAACAACAGGAAAAACTCGGCCGCTATCAAGACCTCAAAATTGAACTGCAAAGGCTCTGGCATAAACCAGTACAGGTGGTCCCAGTGGTCATTGGCACACTAGGTGCTGTGCCAAAAGATCTCAGCTGGCATTTGGAAACAATACATTGACAAAATCACAATCTGTCAACTGCAAAAGGCTACCTTAGTTGGATCTGTGCGCATCATTCGAAAATACATCACACAGTCCTAGATGCTTGGGAAGTGTTCGACTTGTGATTTTGTGATACGAAATCCAGCATAGAGATCTCGTTTGCTGTGACATACTGTGTTTTTGTGTCAGTAAAATAATAATAATAATAATAATAATAATAATTTTTTACTGACACCATAACACAGTATGACACAGTAAACAAGAGATATATGCTGGATTTCGTATCACAAAATCACAAGTCTAATATTTCCCAAGCTGTGTGATTATTATTTATCATCATCACCATCATTAATTATTAGGGCTCAGGATGCTTCCTTACCAAATTGTGATTATTATAGCAATCTGAAATGTCTCACCAAGAACAGACAAGTCAAGGAAGCATTCTACATTACCTGATAGGGAGTGTTGTGATGAACGATACTCCTGGCAGCTCACGCATGCTGGACAAAACTTTTTTTAAGCTTTCAGAAGAACAAGCATTAAATTCAACCCGGTGAGACCCTTCTGAGGGGTACTCCAAAGCTGAAGCGGGTTGTAAGGGAACAGAGGTGCAGGGACCTTTGAAAAAGAAAGCAAATTGTTCAAAAAAAGATTACAACATGCGTAGCAAACCTAGAAGCCGGAAATGAAGGAGAGGCTTTTGTCTTTGTCTTGTGTATTTGTGTGTCATTGTATTTCACTGTAACAAGGCATTGAATGTTTGCCTGTCTGTCTGTTTATATGGTATAATCCGCTCTGAGTTCCCCCGGGGAGAAGGGTGAAATATAAATAAAGAGTTCAATGTATTGTCGAAGGCTTTCATGGCCGGAATCACTGGGTTGTTGTAGGTTTTCAGGCTGTATGGTCATGTTCTAGAAGCATTCTCTCCTGACATTTCACCTGCATCTATGGCAGGCATCCTTAAAGGTTGTGAAGATGCCTGCCATAAGACCTCACAACCTCTGAGGATGCCTACTATAGATGCAAGAAAACGTCAGGAGAGAATGCTTCTAGAACATGGCCATACAGACCGAAAAACCTACAACAACCCAAATAAAGTGTTGTTATTATTGTTATTATACATTTGGTATTGTAGGATCAATACTTCCTAACCATTAAAAGGAATTAAATGTAATTAAGCTAGCCAGGAAGTGTGAAAGAGTGTCTGTGCCATCACACCCAGACACTATAAAGTTAAAACTAAGATGTGCTTCTCTCTTTATCCGGGTGAACTGCAGGTACCTTACTTAGAAGCTCAGGATTCCCAGCAACTGAGGCCAGTCCAGATTTGAACATCAAACAGAACATTTATTTCTCAAAGTCCTTAACAGACTTGGCACAGCTTGATGAAGTTACAAACACAGTCAACTTGTGAAACCATATAGATGTTCTTTCCTTCCCTTTTCCTTCAGCTGCTGAATTAACTTTCCCCAACGGTAGAAAAATCCTGGGTTCTTTTACCCTAACCCTGAGCTGCTATCTTTTAGAAAGAGCAGGTCTTCCCCTATCCAAGCTCAAGGTTAGTTTGGGGATGAAGTAATGGAGCATCTCCCAATGGCAGAGAAATCCTGAGATATTCTCTGCCCCAGCGCTGAGCTGCTATCTTTCAGAAAGAACAGGTCTTCCCCTACCTGAGCTTAGCACCAGTTTCCAAGGCAAGAGGGTAACCGTACTCACAATGGCCTGTCCGAGCTACCTAGCTTGGCCACCAGCACATCTGAGGCTTTTTCTAAACTGAAGAAGGCAGGAGAACTTCTCCAAATTGGAGATCTCATCCCCAGGAAAATGGGCGGTCTCTGGACCAAAGAGATACTTTTTAAAGCCAATAGCTGCAAAAGGCTTGCAGGCTGGCTTCCAGCCTCTGTTAATGTTTGACTATTAGGGTGCTGCTAAGACTGTAGCAACCCTGGGGGAAATGCAAAGGGATGCTATTTCAAGCAACTAAGGGGCAGTGCAAACCAAGCTTCTAGAAGACGGAACAGTGTCATATTTATTACATAGGATGGAACAGAAATGTGTTAAGGTAATACCACCAAGATCTAGTTGGTGACATAAAGAATGCAAGACTATGGATCTCCCAAAACCCTATGTGCAAACAAAAAGTCAAAAAAGGATGTGGATGTTTAGTCACCTCACTATTCACTTATACTTCAACTTAAACAATTTGAACTCAAGTAAAAACAGAGTTGGGGAGCCCCTGGGCCTCCAAGTGTTGTTGGTCCTAGATTCTCATGAGTTGCTACCAATACGGTTGATGGTGAGGGACAATGGGAGCTGCAGTCCAACATCTGAGCAGTCAAAGCTTCTCTAGCCCTGCTTCATAACTTCAGATTAGATAGGAAGGGAAATCACTTTCCCCCATTTTATTATCTATCCAAACAGTCTTAAAATTCAAAAATGAGTATTTGGACATCATAAATGGTTTATTAATAAAATTTAAACAACATTCATCCTTATGGAGACTTTAGTTATATGCAAATGTAATGAAAAAACAAATTGGATGGCATTTGCCCATTCAGTTGCCTTGAAAAAAAAAAAAAAACAAGCTGCCTCTGAATCAATTGCATGATGTTCCCCCACTGAACCTTCATAGTTAAATCAGATTAGAGTGGATAAAACTTTCTAGTCTTCTTTCTTCAAACACAGCACAGAAATCTCTCCGATTTCCAGCTCCTGTTCTCTGCCCCTAACCATGGCTGGGATATACGTCTAGCACTCACCTAAACTCTGGTTAATGTTAACCAGAGTTATGCTTTCAATCAAGTTGATAATTGGTTTTAAAATTCTAGCATAATAATAATAATAATAATAATAATACAGTCCTAGACACTTGGGAAGTGTTCGACTTGTGATTTTGTGAAACGAAATCCAGCATATAGATCTCGTTTGCTGTGACATACTGTGCTTTTGTGTCAATAATAATAATAGATAGATAGATAGATAGATAGATGGCTTTTGTCACACGTTGGACACTTCCCAAGTGTCTAGGACTGTGTGACGTATCGGCAAATAATGCGTGCAGGTCTGAGTAGGGTGGCCTTTTGCAGCTGACAAGGCAATTTTGTCAGTGTCAATTGTTTTTAAGTGCAGACCAAAGTCTTTAGGCACTGCACCCAGTGTGCCAATCACCACTGGGACCACCTTTACTGGCATGTGCCAGAGTCTTTGTATATTATTATTATTATTATTATTATTGAGCCCCTGGTGGCGTAGAGGGTTAAACCCCCTGTGCTGGCTGGATTGAAGACCGACAGGTCGCAGGTTCGAATCCGGGGAGAGGCAGATGAGCTCCCTCTATCAGCTCCAGCTCCTCATGCGGGGACATGAGAGAAGCCTCCCACAAGGATGATAAAAAAATCAATTCATCCGGGCATCCCCTGGGCAATGTCCTTGCAGACGGCCAATTCTCTCACACCAGAAGCGACTTGCAGTTTCTCAAGTCGCTCCTGACATGACAAAAATAAATAAATATTATTATTATTATTATTATTATTACAATGTTTATTTATACCCCGCTTTTTCTCTCCACAAGGAGACTCAAAGTGGCTTACCATAAGGAAACATGTGTAGCGTTAACTGTAGTGAAGGATGATGTCAAAACAGCTTGTCATGATGAGGACTGTCAGTCAAAGAGAGGGAATTTTGCTTACCATGGGAGGACACACAAGTCAATCACCAAATCTTCATTATGCTTCAAAGAATGGTGTGAACTTACCTTTTCATATATGCCATTGTTTAAACCATGTAATTGGTTTGCTACTCTCAGCTTCCCCTCCACACATAACTTGACACAACCATCTATAAGTAAGCTACTATTTGCGTGACGTGAGCTTGGTGCTGACATGTCAGCTTTCAGCAACAGAAAACAGTAGCATTGAGAGTAAAATTACAATGTAGATGTTTTTAAAAGACAACAGACATCATTGCCAATTCTTGAAAAATTCAGAAAAGGGATGTCTCACCAAGTCCTTTGGCAAGCCAGTTGTTGACTCCATGGGGCACAGCATCGTAGGCTGTATGGGGAGAATAAATGGCAACTCTGTTTTCCAGGGCTTGGATAATGAGACGCTCTTTCCACGTTTTCCACGTTAGGCGTTTGAGTGGCTGAAAAATGGGTGGGTGGTAAGACAGAATAAGATTGGCTTTCTTCTGGAGGGCCTCCTCCATCACTTCCTCGGTCAAGTCGTTGGTCAAAAAGAGGGTGCTGACGGTATGGGGAGGGCTTGGTTCAACCAGGAGCCCCACATTGTCCCAACTCTCAGCCAGCGACAGTGGAGCAAACCCATTGAGGGAAGAAACCAGGACCTTAAGATCCATGAAGGCTCTCAAAGGCACATCAATCCAGGACCGGACACCCAAGAGGCGCTGCGGAGTTGGCTTCAGGTAGGAGAACTGCATGCAGGTGCCTAAAGAACGCCAAAGGCAACGATACAATTAGAAATACTAGGATAAATAGTACATTCTTAGGGCCCTCCTAGACAGGCCCTATATCCCAGGATCTGATCCCAGGTTTTCTACTTTACACTGGATTATATGAGTCTGCACTACCAGATAATCAGAAATCAGGGATAAACAGAAAACTTGGGATCAAACTATGGGATATAGGGCCTGTCTGGAAGGGCCCTACAAAAAACTGGATATTTCACAAATACATCTATATAAATAAAAATATAATGTTCGTTTGTAGTATTAACATAACTCAACAACCACTGGACGAATTGCCGCCAAATTTGGCTACAAGACACCTACTAACCCATGGAGTGACCATGACTCAAAAAAATGATTTTGTCATTTGGGAGTTGTAGTTGCTGGTATTTGTAGTTCACCTACAATCAAAGAGCATTCTGAACTCCAGCAATAATGGAATTGAACCTCTGTGTAGTCTGACATGGTGGTTGTTGGTGTGGTCCAGCATTTCTGTGTTCTCAAATAATATGCTGTGTCCAGGCTGGTTCATCAGGCTTTTGAGAACACAGAAATGCTGGACCACACCAACAACCACCATGTCAGACTACACAGAGAAGCCATTGAAATCCACAAGCATGGGGACAATTTCAACAGAAAGGAGGAGACCATGAAAATGAACAAAATCTGGCTACCAGTATTTAACAACTCTAAAATTACAACAGCACAACAACAGAGAGGAAACAACCAGGCACAGATTAACACCTCCCAGCAAGAGATTTTCCCAGGCTCAGCCAGGCCTTCAAATGCTAATGAAGGTGATCAGTTGAAACATTCACACCTAGCTCCAGCAGACAAGAGTCCTTTGTCCCACCCTGGTCATTCCACAGATATATAAACCCATTTTCCTAGTTCCAACAGACCTCACTATCTATGAGGATGCTTGCCATAGATGCAGGCGAAACGTCAGGAGAGAATGCCTCTAGACCATGGCCATATAGCCCGAAAAAACCTACAACAACCCTAATCCTTGACAGATGAGCAGATCTGAAAATGTACTGCCTGATCCCATAGCACTGAGCCAGGGCATAAATGTGTGGTCAAACTGCATTCATTCCTCAGTGTAGATCCATCCCAGCAACTTCCCTTCCCAATTTCCTCCCTCCTTCATTTAAAATCCCTTCCTTCCTGGTATTGGGGGGGGGGGGGGGGTTGTCTCTGAATGGCCCTCTCACCTCTCTTCCAGCCTGGGATAGACTGGGAGGGCTTCCAGCTGGAGCACGTTTTGAATGCAAGGCGGCCCTCTTCTGCTGGAGAGAGGAAGGGGGCGTGGCCTAGCGGGTGGCAGCGGGGGCGGGGCCTCACCAGGAAGTAGGAGGAGGACAACAAGCAAGAGGAAAGGGGCCTTTTGGTGGGAAGAAGGTAAGTAAGCGCCCCATTGGGCCAGGCGCTTCCTGGGAAGCAGGCCCCGCTGTAGTGCAATGGGTGCCGTTTGGTCCCACTGGAACTGCCTCTTCTCAATGTTATGCAGGCCTGGGAGCTGCAGTTTGGCGTGGCATCCAGTACTCTTGGGTGGAGAAGGCGCAAGACCTTGTAAAACTACAACTCCCATGAGCAGCGAGCCATGGGATCAAAAGGCATTCATTCCACAGAGTAGAGGCGCACCCCTGATCTCTTTGCAGGAGTAAAACCTTTCCATTGTCGTTTTGAGTGAGATTTTGTGTGTGTGTGTGGGGGGGGGGGGGTTGTGTGTTTTAAAATGTATTTCAGTTGAATTCATTATGTGTTTTGAACCAGTTACTTCATGCCTATCAGCCTCCTCCCAGTAGAAGGAGAAAATGGCATTCATAACCATTTGGAGATCATAACTTTTTAGATCTTTTTAGACCTTTCAGAGTAGAGCCAAAAACCCTTTAGAGTAGACCCTTCTCTTGTGGTATGCAACCAGATATAATAATGCAAGGCATTGGTTTCAGTTGTTAGACTGAATAACCTGTTATCTCTGATCTGTTAGGAAAACAGATTTTTCCAGTGCATAAAACACAGCAGTGCTTCAGAAGTTTTTTTAGTGTCCAAAAATATTTTTCTCTCCTATAAAACAACTCGTTTTATTTATTGATTTAAAACATTTATTTTCCACCCTTCTCACCTCAAAGGGGACTCAGGGCGGAGAACATTCAATGCTGGGACAAAGATTCACATACAATACATAAACATTAAAAATATTTATCAAAATATTAAAATACACCATTTAAAACCGTCCTAGCCATCCGCATCAAATCCAATTGGCCCTGTCATCTTTCCTATTGCTGCTTCATTGCCCTGTCCAGAAAGCTTGGTCCCACAGCCACGTTTTTACCATCCTTCTAAAGGACAGGAGGGAGGGGGCCGACCTGGTCTCACCAGGAAGGGAGTTCCATAGCCGGGGAGCAATCACCGAGAAGGCCCTGTCTCTCATCCCCACCAATCGCACCTGTGACAATGGTGGGACGGAAAGCAGGGCCTCCCCAGAGGCCCTCCCCTGTTAATCTCCATGATGCTTCATAGGGGGAGATGCGTTCATAGGGGGAGATGTGTTCGTACAGGTAATTTGGGCCGGGGCCGTTTAGGGCTTTATAGGCCAAAGCCAGCACTTTGAATTGTGCCCGGTAGCAAACTGGCATCCAGTGGAGCTGGCATAACATGGGAATTGTATGCTCTCTGTATGCCGCCCCAGTTATTAACCTGGCTGCCTCTCGTTGGACTATTTGAAGCTTCTGAGCAGTCTTCAAAGGCAACTCCACGCAGAGTGCGTTGCAGTAGTCTATCCTAGATGTAACGAGAGTGTGGACCACCGTGGCCAAGTCTGACTTCCCAAGGTACGGGTGCAGCTGGCGCACAAGTTTTAATTGTGCAAACGCTCCCCTGGCCATCACCGAAACCTGGGATTCCAGGCTCAGTGATGAATCCAGGCTCAGTGATGAATATCATGCACTTAAGACAAAAATGAAGTAGATTTAGCTTAAAATAACATACTTGGTTTATTCACAGCTTCATGTATTCAGCATACACAGGTATATAACTATCAGTTTAATTTCAGATATGTTTGAGATAGTTTCTCTATGTGCAAATGACACAGGGCATCTTTCTTATAATCAACAGCAGGTAAGTGTTGGTCTGAGTAGTCCCAAGGTCTAAAGAAGTCTGATGGAGTCTGTGTTCTAATTGAGGCTCAGAGTGGATCATGCAGTCCCTCCCACAGGAAAACAGAGTAAAGGAAAGAATGTTCATACAATACATAAGCAACAGTATACTGGAGCCCCCGGTGGCACAGTGGGTTAAACCCTTGTGCTGGCAGGACTGATGACTGACAGGTCAGAAGCTCGAATCTGGGGAGAAAGCTCCCTCTCAGCTCCAGCTCCCCATGCAGGGACATGAGAGAAGCCTCCCACAAGAATGGTAATATATATTTGGGTGCCCCCTAGGCAATGTCCTTGCAGATGGCCAATTCTCTCGCACCAGAAGCGACTTGCAGTTTCTCAAGTCACTCCTGACGCAGAAAGGGGGAAAAAAAGCAACAGGATTATATATAAGAAAATTACTTGAGGGGGCTTGCAGAAGGTTGTAATTTCCAACAAAGATTCATGAGAACCACCACTCCTCTTAATGTTTACCCAGCAACAGCAAGAACAACCCTCTGGGCAACTAAACTAGGAAATCCCAGTTGGATGCCCCCCGCCACGATGGTTTGCCTCCAGGGGCAAACCAAGAATAGACAACTTGGAAGTCCCTGAACAGACTCAAGGCCTTTTCAGACAGGCCCTATATCCCAGGATCTGATCCCAGATTTTCTGCTTTAAACTCGATTATATGAGTTCGCTGCCAGATAATCTGGGACAAACAGAAAATCTGGGATGAGTTCTTTGGATATAGAGCTTGCCTGGAAGTGGTACTGGCAGATGAAAAGACAACCTGGTGAAATGACACTACCTGGAAGCATCCCCCACCTTGTGCGACTGTGGAGCAGAACAAACAACTTCGCATCTGTATGCTTGCCCACAACGTCCTGCCTCATGCACAGGAAGAATTGTTTAAAGCTATAGACAATGCGGTCACTGCTGCCCGTTTTTGGTCTAAAATTATTTAGCCGCTTGTGCTCCCTCTATTTTATCAGTTATTTATTTATGCAATGCTTTTGACAGGAAATAAATAAATAAAACCAGACACACCGTACAATTTAATTTTTTTAAAATGTATTCACTTCATTTTAAATTGATCAAAGGCAGAGTATAAATAATGTTAATGACAATAATAATAATAATAATAATAATAATAATAATAATAATAATGCCAATAGAAGTCCTCTCTCTCCTTGCTGTTCATTCCAACTGCATTTAGGGTTATAGGAAGCTCCTCTTCCTGGTCTCTGTGCCTTTACAGTTGGGTGACATCAGTGTGCAAAAGGGTCCTTGTCTCACCTTCAATGCCTCATTTCATAGCATAGACTAGAACAGTGTTTCTCAACCTTCCTAACGCCGCGACCCCTGAATACAGTTCCTCATGTTGTGGTGACCTCCTCCCCCCAACCATAAAATTGTTTTAGTTGCTAACTCCAATTTTACTACTGTTATGCATCATAATGTAAATATCTGATATGCAGGCTATATTTTCATTCATTCATTGGACCAAATTTGGCACTGATATCCAATTCACCCAAATTTGAATACTATTGGGGTTGCGAGGGGATTTATTTTTGTCATTTGGGAGTTGCAGTTGCTGCGATTTATAGTTTATCTACAATCAGAGAGCATTCTGAACTCCACAAATGATGGAATTGAATTAAACTTGGCACACAGAACCAACAGAAAATACTGGAAGGGTTTGGTGGGCATTGACCTTGAGTTTTGGAGTTGTAGTTGCCCTATATCCAGAGAGCACTGTGGACTCAAACAATGATGCATCAGATTCTGTACCAAACTTGGTACGAATCCTCAGTATGCCCAAATGTAAACACTGGTGGAGTTTGGGGACAATAGACTATGACATTTGGGAGTTGTAGTTGCTGGGATTCATAGTTCACCTACAATCAAAGAGCATTCTGAACCTCACCAATGATAGAATTGGGTCATACTTCCCACACAGAACCATCATGACCAACAGAAAATACTGTGCTTTCTGATGGTTTTTGGTGACCCCTCTGACACCCCTTCGTGACCCCCCCAGGGGTCCCGACCCCCAGGTTGAGAAACGCTGGACTAGAATGACAGAGTTGGAAGAGACCACATGGGCCATCTAGTCTAACCCCCTACCATGCATGAAAAGCACAATCAAAGTACCCCTGACAGATCAAACACTACTATTTGAACTTTTTTTTAGCATAGTGGATCTAGACTTTATGAATAAGGTGTATATACTTAGGTCCTGTCTCCAAGATATCTCATTATCTACCTGTGTACATGCAGGTATTCTGAAATCCAAAACTCTTCTGGTCCCAATCATTTTGGATAAGAACTATTTAACCAGTACCTTGCAAATAGTACATGCCTCTGCCCTTTTAAAATAATGCCAATTCTTCCGGGTTTTTTTAAATCATGCTAATGTTAAATTCAGTTTTAATTTACTTGTTGCAGGAAAAACAGAGCTTTTGGCACCTTAGAAACTGGCAGATGTGTTATAGCTTTAACATTATGGATGTTTTTCATGCTATAATAAATACGTTAATCTTTCTCAACTGGGATTCAGTGTGGTCACTGTTAAAAACAAAAATAGTGCAACAATTCTCATCCAAGTGGTTCCTCCATGCCTTTACTACTAGAGCAATATTGCTTTTAGCATGTGAAGCCACATTTCCACTCATTATAGCTGTTTTTTTCTGGTTTTTTGCAGAAACTCTTCAGGTGGCTCTGATTTGAATTCCTTGTCTGCACAGATGGTGAGACTGGTTGTTTCAATATCTTCTTCCTAACTGCTTGCAAGGTATTCCTTGAGAAACAGGTAGCTGTATATTTAGAAACACACTATTTTAGAGTATACAGGCAGTCCCCAAGTTACAAACAAGATTCTGTAGGTTTGTTATGAAGTTGAATTTGTATGTTTAGTTAGAACAGAAACATTTTTAAATGTATCTCCACCTACCCCTACCCCCATATATAAGCTTTGGGCAGGGAAAGGTTAAAACCCCTGTGGCATTTGTTTTGCTGTCTGTGCCCCTATTCAGATTTTGGAAAAATGGTTTTTTGGGGAAACAGGATTGGTAATAAAACTTCTGTTGAGACACCTTTTTCCCATGATAATGTTGTCAAGCCATGACACACCCCCTTCAAAAGGTTATGAACAATAAAAAGACATTTTCCACCCATTCCAAGTTTTGCAATATTGAAGCCGCAGAGGATCTGGAAGGACCTAGCTAGAACTGTGTCCCGAACACTATCAAAGTTTAACCCCTTAATGAATGTATAAAAATGCTACCTTTTGTGTAACTTGTATTGCTTGTGTATTGTATCAATATCTAAATGTATAAACTTGTATCAAATGTAGCCTGAAGGTATCTGCTGCCCCAGTGCCCCCTGTGTGCATAAAATCCTGGGAACGGAGATTGCTATATAAAACAAGGGTCCTTCTAGTGATCTCCCAAGCCAGATAAAATCCTTTGTGTATATATGTGAGACAGATGATCTGATCATGGTCTGGAGGCATTCTCTCCTGACGTTTTGCCTGCATCTATGGCAAGAATCCTCAGAGGTAGTGAGGTCTTTCTCAACTGGGATTCCTCACTACCTCTGAGGATGCTTGCCATAGATGCAGGCGAAACATCAGGAGAGAATGCCTCTAGACCATGGCCCTATAGCCCAAAAAAACCTACAACAACCCAGTGATTCCGGCCATGAAAGCCTTCGACAATAGATGATCTGATCCTTTGGCTACAAAGATATGCTTAGGATGTTTTCCTGTTCAAATGAGAATGGAGGATGCCATTCTCACGGAAGAGAAAGCTAAACAAATACGAATACATTAACCTTCTGAATAGGCAGCCCAGTTTCTTGTTATTTGAGATTATCATCTTTTGTCCTGTGGGTCTTGCACCTTTGTCTCTCTGGAACTGGACACTTAAGTCAATCAAGATCAAGGAATCATCTGAATACTTATGTCATCCCTTCCCTCAGTTTTGTGCCCTTCCAGGGGGTGTCTCTGCAACAAACTGGACCTTTAAAGTGACCAACCATCAGCTGTTCTTCTTGCTGCCATAGGGATCTCCTCCTCCTGCCAGTGACATCAGGGAAACCCCTGGCCAATCCCTGTGTGGATCCTATTCGGCAAGGTTTCTCAGCCAGTCAGGGGGAGGCATAGGAGCCCCCAGTAGCGCAGTGGGTTAAACCCCTGTGCCAGCAGAACTGAAGACCGACAGGTCGCAGGTTTGAATCCAGGGAGAGCATGGATGAGCTCCCTCTGTCAGCTCCAGCTCCCCATGCGGGGACATGAGAGAAGCCTCCCACAAGGATGATAAAACATCAAAACATCTGGGCGTCCCCTGGGCAACGTCTTTGCAGACAGCCAATTCTCTCACACCAGAAGCAACTTGCAGTTTCTCAAGTCACTCCTGACATGGCCAAAAAAAAAAAAATGGCGGGGGGAGGCATATGAAGTCTGAATAGCTGTCAGAACTAAAAAGTCTTATATTTTATATAAATTTATGCTTGCATGTTTTGAAGAGATTGCTGGGACGTGCCTCACCTTTTGGACAAACTGGACAAACCTTTGTAGTTTGCCTACTTGTTCTTTGTCCTAGCTGATCTGGTTTAGCAGAATCTCACCTTTTTATCCGCAGTCCCAGCTGAAATCTCAATAACTCTTTCAAGAGTTAATTTTCATTTCTAGGGTTGCATTTCTCTCCCTGTTGTGTCACCCATGTTCTTAAGTATGAGCTGTTTGTAATTCAGATGTTTGTAACTTGGGAACTGCCTGTATTAGGATTTAGAAATTATATTACCTTACTCATTGAGCACTGCAGCATGCTGGAGGGGGATGGGGTAGAATTATCTCTGCTTAGAAAATGGAGGGTACAAGGAATGGGTGCTTCATGAAGGGTGCATTTCAGATGTTGGTTTGTGGGCATCCCAAGATATGGGAGTGCGGTAAATTATTTTCCCCAGCTCTGTGGCGAAGCAGGTGAGTGGGGGGAAATGAGGACTCCTCCAAGACATTTGAAGCCAAAATAAGTGTGCTACATGTTTGCAGCATAGGCTAACTAAATGGGAAGCTTGCAAAACAACTGCTAAATGCAGAATATTTAGACCATTCCTGCTGTCTACAAATAATTTAACATGTATTACTTTGTATGTTTTGTTTTGATTTCTCCTATTAGCTGTTCATAACTATTGATTTGACTAGTTTTTTTGAAAGAATGTTTGTTTAAATTACATTTAGTCATTTATTTATTTGTTATTTATTTATTTAAACTAATGTAGTTTGTGTTCCCCCTCAATCCAGGCTGTGACTCTACACACTGATGTGGGAGATATTAAGATAGAACTGTTCTGTGAACGGACACCTAAGGCTTGTGAAGTGAGTAATGGATCTACCAGGTCCGCTGGAAACAAGCTTTCAAAATGCAGACTGACTGGGTTACTCTGCGCCTCTTAATTTAAATGTCACTTTATTAACATGATCAGAAGATTCTCAAAATAACATCAGAATGGAACAATAGTAATCAGATTTTATTTATCATATCAGAAGCAACTTGAGAAACTGCAAGTCGCTTATGGTGTGAGAGAATTGGCTGTCTGCAAGTACGTTGCCCAGGGGACACCTGGATGTTTTACCATCCTGTGGGAGGCTTCTCTCATGTCCCCGCAAGGGAAGCTGGAGCTGATAGACAGGAGCTCACCCCATCTCGCGGATTTGAACCGCTGACTTTCAGGTCAGCAGTTCAGCTGGCACAAGGAGCTCCATAGTAATCAGATTACAGTATGTAATAAAATGTAAATACATACTAATAAATTGGTTAGTAATCCATTGCAAAAGCATTCAGAATTTAAATAAACACAACATTATAATTCCATTAGGCTTTGATTAAAAAAAAACTCATATTAATTAAATCCTTTATTCCAGGGTTGGGAATTCTGTGGCCTGTAGGCTGCACCTGCCCTCCAGTCTTCCCCCTCCACATATACTCAGAGAACAGATACAACACATAAGAAATAATGTGGACAATATGCTGGCTTTTAGGTTTACAAATTTGGATAGCTCAGTGACAATCACTCATAAAAACACCGAAAAACACAGCAGAAGAGACTTAAAAAGCCAAAAAATAGAAAAATACATTAAAACACATGTGCAAAACCACATATATACACATACATACACACACACACAAACACATATACAAAGACTGGGCCACAGCAATGTGTGGCAGGGGACGGCTAGTATATAAGAAAATCTATATAAATAAAAATGTAATATTTGTTTGTGGTATTAACATAACTCAAATACCACTGGACAAATTGACATCAAATTTGGACACAATACACCTGTCAGGCCAACGAGTGAGCATCACTCATAAAAACACTGAAAAACACAGCAGAAGAAACTCAAAAAGCCAAAAAAGACCCATTACAACGCATGAGCAAAACCACATATATACACAAACACACACACACACACATACACAAATATATACACACACAAAACACATATACACAGACTGGGCCACAGCAACACATGGTAGGGGACGGCTAGTATATTATATAAACATTTCTTCGAGCTCCATGAGAAAGTTTTGCTTCAAAAAGGGCTCTGTGTCTAAAAAGGTTTGAGAACCCTTGTCTGAAAAAAACCCAAAAGGGATGAGCTTAGTTTCACATCTTAATGGACCATTGTTTATTGCAATTTATAAAAACAACTGCATTTTCCACACAGGACCTTGTACATGTGCATTTGTGATGGGTTTCATATCATGAGACTATATCCTCACTAGCATTTTTTTTCCTTTGTAGAATTTTCTGGCTCTCTGTGCTAGTAATTACTACAATGGTTGTATTTTCCATCGGAATATCAAAGGCTTTATGGTGCAGACAGGAGATCCATGTGGTAATTCCTTTTATTACAGTTCATTTGTTTATTATTTTATTTATACAGTTTTCAGTAGTGGACAGATGTATTTACCAATTGCCGTAGGAATGTTGAAGTATCTTTTGCTCTGAAAAAAACATTCAGAATATGTTTTCATGAATTGTAATTCACTTGACCAGAAGCGTGTACCTGATGAAGAGGGATGCATGAATGCTTGTGGAAATGGCATGCTAAACATACAGCATTATAAAACTTTGCATTAATTTTTAAGATATTTTAAAGTTGAAATACACGATGCAGGAACACTGCTGAACCTATGAAGGTCTTCATGAAGGACCACCTGACTTTGAGTCTTGTATTTACTTTAATAGTGTCTGGAATAACCACATAATTTAATCCCCAAATCCAGTAGTTCTCAAACTGTGGGTTCCCAGATATTTTGGCCTTCAACTCCCAGGAATCCTAACAGCTGGTAAACTGGGTGGGATTTCTGAGAGTTGTAGACCTTACTTATTTACTTTAGGCAATCCCTCTTTGGATGAGTAGGATAGTCTTCCAGGGTCAGTATTCTTGTGGGTCCGTAAGTGGCTGTGGAGCCCTATTCTTGATCTGCATCTTCTCCCACAGTGAGGGCATTGGTTTCCAGGTGGAAGGCGGTCTCGGTCAGGGTTGGCTTGACGTGCCTTCCTCTTGGCATGTTTCTCTCTATCACCCTCCATTCGTGCCTCTTCAAATTCTGCAGCACTGCTGGTCACTGCTGACCTCCAGCTGGAGCTCTCAAGGGCCAGGGCTTCCCAGTTCTCAGTCTATGCCAGAGCTTTTAAGGTTGGCTTTGAGCCCATCTTTAAATCTCTTTTCCTGCCCTCCAACATTCCGTTTTCCATTCTTGAGTTCGGAGTAGAGCAACTGCTTTGGGAGACGGTGGACGGGCATCCGGACAACGTGGCCGGTCCAGCGGAGTTGATGGCGGAGGACCATTGCTTCAATGCTGGTGGTCTTTGCTTCTTCCAGCATGCTGACGTTTGTCCGCTTGTCTTCCCAAGAGATTTGCAGGATTTTCCGGAGGCAGGGCTGATGGAATCGTTCCAGGAGTTGCATGTGACATCTGTAGACAGTCCACATTTTGCAGGCATATAGCAGGGTTGGGAGGACAATAGCTTTATAAACAAGCACCTTGGTATCCCTACGGATGTCCCAGTCCTCAAACACTCTCTGCTTCATTCGGAAAAATGCTGCACTCACAGAGCTCAAGCGATGTTGTATTTCGGTGTAGATCAAATCACCTTGGGACCCACAGGTTGAGAACCACAGTTCTAGTCATCATTTAATATCTTTTTGTAAATAAGTGTTACTCAAGAGCCTGTGATTTTTGAGCTAACTTTTCAGTACACCTTTTCAGCTTCTTGCCTTGAAGATGTGTTCTTGGAGAAATAAACTAACTCCTTCTTCATAAAAACAAGAGTACAGGTTATTATATGGTTGCCAGTTGACACAACAATTGTGCATGAATTAAACGTATGACTTGAGAAAAATGTTTACAACGTAATCTAGCCACATATTGCACAATGCAACCTATATAACATGTACCATAAAAATCTAATCTATAGTTTACAAGGTTGTTGGATTTAGTAACCTGGTGTTGTATTTGTCTGATAATCTCACCTTTGATCTCTCTCATAAATCAATAATTCACACTAAGAAGGAAAGAGTTTTGGTACGGCTCTGAAGAATCTGTAACTTATTTCTTAACCTTTTGAAAAACTCAACTGTAATGAAAGAACACTTTTCCATTTTACTGAGTTTTCAAAATTGCCTAAATGCTTGTGCTAAATAGATGAAAATGCTGTCTTCTCTGGTGACTTAATGCCTGCATTTGTCTCCTTAACCTCCTTTCCTTCTCTTTAAGGCTCTGGGAAAGGAGGAAATAGCATTTGGGGAAGAAAATTTGAAGATGAATACAGTGAATACTTAAAGGTATGGATTTTCCCTCCTTTTTCCATTAGTGTTCCTTGATATTGGGTTACTGTGAGTTTTCTGGGCTCTATGGCAATGTTCCAGAAGCATTCTCTCACATCTATGGCAGGCATTCTCAGCGGTTGTGAGGACTGTTGGAAACTAGGCAAGAGGGGTTCATATATCTGTGGAAAGTCCCGGATGGGAGAAAGAACTCTTGTCAGTTGGAGGCAAGTGTGAATATTGCAATTGACCACCTTCAAAGCCAAGCTTTGAAGCTGCAAAGCTAATCAAGGTGGCCAATTGAAACATTCACACTTGCCTCAAGCAGACAAGAGTTCTTTCTCCCACCCTGGACATTCCACAGATAAATAAACCTCACTTGCCTAGTTTCCAACAGACCTCACAACCTCTCAGGATGCCTGCCATAGATGTGGGTGAAACATCAGGAGAGAATGCTTCTGTGGCATGGCCATACAGCCTGGGAAACTCACAACAACCCAGTGATTCCGGCCATGAAAGCCTTTGACGGTACATTATTCCCTGACACATTCTCTTGAAGAAGTACTTGTTTTAGGGTAAATAGTAGGGTAATAGTTGCAGATCAGATCAATCACTTCTCTTTTTTTCTAGCTGGTGAAAAGGCTATGGCCCCCAGGCATGGCTTCCAGGAGTAGATACTAGTTTTGGTAGCATATAGTTGCAATACTCTATTATCGCTTAAACAGCAGTGATTTCTCAAGCCCTATGAATTCAGTGAACTTTGAGTAACAGTACTGGAAAGGCCCAGGCTGTTCATTCTGCTAATTCCACAAAAGCTTCAGGAATTTGCACTGATCAGCTTCATTCTCATATAATAGGAAACTGACTGTAATGCAGACTTCTCATTGTCCTCAGCAGAATTTATTGTGAATTTAGATTCAATTGGGGGCATCCTTTTTTGGGTAGAATTCCTTTTCAGCCTGCCACTATGATCATGACTGAAATATCCATAATGCCATAGATATTGTAAACATGAGGAATACTGGGGTCTTTGTTTATCCTCATTCTCCCGCTACTGCTTCTTCTCCCAGTCCCTTTCTGGTATGGAAGCAGGCCTCAGGGGTTTGAGCGTAGCTTCTGCTCTGGATTGGTTTGGACTGAAGAACTAAATAGTAGGTTCCCATAGATAAGAGCATGGGAAAGTTGAGTCACTGCAGTTGAAAAACAAACAAACAAACCCGTGTCTCCAAACCATTGGCTGTGCTTAATTTTTCAGGAAAGCACAGAAAATGCTTAAAAGGTCCAAGTATCTATATTGGAGGTTGAAGTATACTTAACATAAATTGGCTTTAATTGAAAGTTTTTTAAAAATGGGTTGTTGTAGGTTTTTTCGGGCTATATGGCCATGTTCTAGAGGCATTCTCTCCTGACGTTTCGCCTGCATCTATGGCAAGCATCCTCAGAGGTACCTCACTACCTCTGAGGATGCTTGCATAGATGCAGGCGAAACGTCAGGAGAGAATGCCTCTACAACATGGCCATATAGCCCGAAAAACCTACAACAACCCAGTGATTCCGGCCATGAAAGCCTTCGACAACACATTTTTTAAAAATATTTTGTTTCATAAAAGTCTTCTTTTTTTTTTTGCTTCAGTCAAACTTCAGTCAAACAATATCTATAACATTTGTACTTATTCTTACATTAAGAAAAAAATCAAGTGAATCATTATGGACATAAAACTTGTTGCCAGAATTTGATTTTATGGTCCTCAATAAAAGGACTTTTTTTTGTCTCAGGAGCGACTTGAGAAACTGCAAAACTCTTCTGGTGTGAGTTGGCTGTCTGCAAGGTTGTTGCCCAGGGGATGCCTGGATGTTTTTGATGTTTTTACCATCCTTGTGGAAAGCTTCTCTCATGTCCCCGCATAGGGAGCTGGAACTGACAGAGGGAGCTCATCTGCGCTCTCCCTGGATTCGAACCTCTGAACTATCAGTCTTCAGTCCTGCCAGCACAAGGGTTTAACCTGATGCAAAGAAACAAAAACTATAGAAATTCAAAGTTGCTTCATTGGCCCCTGTGCCATGTCAGCTCAGGCAGAGGACAAACACCAAACTCTCCCCATATTGACATTAAACATCTGGAGGATAGATTAGTAGGATATCTTTCTCTTGATGGAAATGTATTGCCCTGAACTGACTTTGTAAGATGCTTTGGTGAAAAAAATAGAATAAAAACTCCATAAATCTGGTATTTTTTTGTAACTCTTTTTAGCACAGTGTCCGTGGAGTTGTTTCTATGGCAAATAATGGTCCAAATACAAATGGATCTCAGTTCTTCATCACCTATGGCAAACAGCCACACCTGGACATGAAATACACTGTGTTTGGGAAGTAAGTAATTTATCGTTGAGCCTGATGATGGGAATAAGAGGAAGATGATATGCCGCAGGACTGGAGAAGGAGTTTTTTCTTGCTTCAAGCAAGATGATTTAAAAAATGTAACTTCCTTAACTAACATCTGGTTGCTCCAGTCACTCTGAGTGCCATTCACTTTGTGATAACACAAAAATAATGACTATATGCTTGGAAGGCACAGGTGATTTGAATATTAAATGATTTTACAAACCATGTAATGGAAAATAAGTGCTTAAAAATGGTCCACTATATACCACTTAGAACTACAATTGGATGGCGGCACTGCCAAATTTTTTCGTGTCAAGAGTGACTTGGGAAACTGCAAGTCACTTCTGGTGTGAGAAAATTGGCCGTCTGCAAGGACGTTGCCCAGGGGACGCTCAGATGTTTTGATGTTTTACCATCCTTGTGGGAGGCTTCTCTCATGTCCCCGCATGGGGAGCTGGAGCTGACAGAGGGAGCTCACCCATGCTCTCCCCAGATTCAAACCTGCGACTTGTCGGTCTTCAGGGGTTTAACCCATTGCGCCACCTGGAGCTGCCAAAAATGTAACAAGAACATTCGTTAGCAGGGGAAATAGTTGTTGGTTCTGATTACTGGGTTTCCATTATAAATCCTAGATTCTCATTTTCAAATGCTTTTTCAAGATATTGCATAGCAAAGTGAGATTATTGCATGCTGATCTATGGCAGTGGTTTTCAACCTTTGCTCCTCCAAATGTTTTGGACTACAGCTCCTAGAACCCCTGATTATTGGCCAAGAGAGCTGGGATTTCAAGTCAAAACACCATTTCAGAAGCACTGATTTCCAGCATATTATTGTAGTTCTTTCTCCCAGGCACAAGCTCCACTTGCACTAAATTTAATTTGTTTAGGACTGCAGATTTATTACATTGTGAGCTAGATTAATTTATTAACCTATCAAATGGGAAGGGGAAATTTTCAGCCCTGATCTCACCAGCCTCATCTGCCTGGGTTTCTGGGAGCTCTAATCCAACATTGTTTTGAAGGTACTGGTCTCCCCTGACCCAAGATCTGAGGCTTTTTAATCCTTTTTGGAAGCTAAAAAAACCAACATCAAAAATGTGTCTCTTTCTGTCCAAGGACATTCTCATAACTATTTTTCCATTTTGCTTCCTAGGGTCATTGATGGTTTGGATACTCTAGATGAGCTGGAGAAACTGCCAGTAAATGAAAAGACTTTTCGCCCATTGAATGATGTTCATATTAAAGATGTCACGATGCATGCCAATCCTTTTGCGCAATGACTGCTGTGTTCTTACCATAGGTTTCTGAAAGGCTGCGGGTGGCCCTGAAAAGGCAGATAGGCCCTTGCATTCTCTCATGGAAAGAGGGACTTTGCAAGACTTTTCTAATTCCCACATTGCACAGATCAGAAAAGCCAATTTTGATTTGCTGCATTTATTTATGATAAATAAAGCTGGAAAAAGCATAAAAATAAATTTTTAACATTTTTATCAAGTTGTATTTGCCTTGTTTGTATCTGCTACTTCACTCTCGATAGACATCTCTGTTCTTTTGAAATATGTTTGCATGCTTTAACATAGCAATAAAGCAAGGAATCCTGGGAATCCTGTCTTAACAGGTAGAATAATACAAGTATATGCTGTCTGATTGTGGGAGTAGCTAAAGAAACATGTAGTTTGAAGACAGGAAGTGTCAATGCTTTCGCTTGCTGCTTTTCATGCCTTTGGTGAGTGAAGATATATTCCATATTTTGTTTGCTCCAACTACAGTTCCGTCCTCATGGTGCACTTTCCCCCCGCCCTTAGTGAAGGTCCAACTCTATTGTTCGTTCCTTTTGAGCTCCTTCCTCAGAAACAAATTCTCCCACTACTTATCTCATCCAGGGTTTTATCAATTTAATCCTACTGCATTTGGCCCGCCCACTGTGTCCTATTTCTCTATCATGTTGTTTTGTACCTGTTTATTTTGTTATTCATGTATTTATTTTGATGGTATTTTCTGCTTCTTTGTACTTTATTTTGCTGTACTGTAATGTTGGACTTGGCCTCATGTTAGCTGCCCTGAGTTCCCTTTGGGGGAGATGGTAGCGGGGTACAAATAAATTTATTTATTTATTTACTGCACTTGTAGACCGCTGTTCTCAGCCCTAGGGCGACTCACGGCGGTGTACAACACGTAAAAACAGGTACAATTTCCAGCATAAGAAATAACACAACAACATTAAACAACATCACTATCAATAATACCATTACACTAAATCATTCGCGCCGTCTCATTGTTGAATCACAATCCAATCTCGTTATCCATGTTCCGTTCCAATCGTCATTGCCAGTTATTGCAGCACTTACTCAAACGCCTTCTCAAACAACCACGTCTTTAGTCTCTTGCGGAATGACATAAGGGAGGGCGCCAATCTGATGTCCACAGGGAGGGTGTTCCACAGCCGGGGGGCCACCACCGAGAAGGCTCTAAAGATTATTATTATTATTATTATTATTATTATTATTATTATTATTATTAATTATCCCACAGGACAGAAACCAAATCCCTCAGTGGTTTTCTATCTATTTTTCTGTCTTGTTTTAGAGAAAGAAGCCAGGGTGTTATCAAGTGGTGCATTCAGACAACATAAAAAGCTGATCCCTGTGTTTGGCATTTCTCACTGTAAACAGGAGTGACTGTGCAGTATTTATTAGCAATAGAGTAAATACTGCACATTCTTGTGTTCATTAAGGCCTTCATTAATGCCTCCTTTTGTTGAGATTGCCTGCTGTCATTTGATACCTGCAATACTTGCCACTAGCCAATGCATTAAGTCTTGAGTTGGAATCTAAATAGCAGATATTGCATTTACACTATCTGTCTCAATGTTTTATCTTGTTTTCCCCCTTTCCTTTTTGCACTATTTATCTTAAGAGATCTAGAAACTTGAAATGATGCACATGCTGTTGCCACATTTTTGTTATGGGACTTTCTTGGCAAGATCTGTTCAGAGAGAGGCTGTCTTTACCCTTTTCTGCAGTGACCTGCCCAGTGTCATCCGGTGGGTTTTAGTGGCTGACCCATGATTCAACTCAAGCCACTACACAACACTGTCTCTGGCATTTTGGTATTAAAAGTATCAGCTAACAGAATTTTGAATGCCATGCCCTGTAATTTGAACTCCTTTTTTTCAGGAAGTGAATGTATCATAGTGGCCAGTGTCATTCTAAGCCTCACTTGGACTTCTGCTGGATCAGTGGTTCTCAACCTGTGGGTCCCCAGATGTTTTGGCCTTCAACTCCCAGAAATCCTAACAGCTGGTAAAATGGCTGGGATTTCTGGGAGCTGAAGGCCAAAACACCTGGGGGGACACAGGTTGAGAACCATTGTGCTGGACTAGCCTATCATGAAAATGCAATTTAAAACAGAAATCTACAAATTCAGCAGATGAACCAAGAAAATGAGAGGTAGAAAATCCATTTAACAAAGAGTTTCTGTCAAGTGCTTCAGATGTTAATCCTAAATGGAAACTCTAGATAAAGAATTCTGTGAACTAATACTTTGCTTTCCTGATGTGAATGTGACTAATGGAACAGGCTGGGCATTTAGTGCAACTTTGAGTCTTGCTCTCCTCACCCACTGCCAAAGTTGTAGAAAATATGCCTTTTAAAAATCTGAGTTTGTTTATTTGTGAATTGCAAGGAGAGATAAGGCAGAAAGCTTATGAATATCTTGTCCTTTTGTCAAAAATTACCCGCATGGCTGTAGAATTTATTTTAATCACCTTTCAAAAAAGACAAATGCTGAGTTTTTCCACATAGTCTCTCTGTTTTTCAAAACACTTTATCAATCCGTCAACAAGCTTCCATATTCTTTTATTTAAAATGTTTTAGGCTGAGCTGTGAGCCATAAATGCATTGCTGCCTTCACCCCTTCACCAGACATGAATCTCATCCTTGTAGGGCTTCTTCCAGGGATCCAAACAGGCGATAGTCCAATGGTGCAAAATCAGGGCTATATGCCTCAACACTTTAAAACAAAGTTTGTGGAGGGTTTTGACAGTATGGGCAGTGACGTCCAGACATGCATTGCCATGCAACACTATTGGGATCCAACAATGCTCTAGGTAAGAAAATAGCCCTCTTGATGGGAAATGGATAGATTAGTAGATAGGGTTTACAAAGTTTGTAGGGAAACCAATCTCTCTCTGTCTGTTCTGCTCCCAACTTTGATGTTCAGACTGACATTCTCATTGTCCCACCTCTTCTCAGGTTTCCAGCCCCCTTCCTGGGATTTTCCATTTTCTTTGTTCTCGCAGAATGAGATTAGCCTAACAAGAGGAAGGATCCTAGTCTGTTTTCTATCAGTTCAACTGTGTAGTTGGAGCCCCTGGTGGCGCAGTGGGTTAAACCCCTGTGCCGGCAGGACTGAAGACCAACAGGTTGCAAGTTCAAATCCGGGGAGAGGCGGATGAGCTCCCTCTATCAACTCCAGCTCCTCATGCAGGGACATGAGAGAAGCCTCCCACAAGGATGATAAAAGCATCAAATCATCCAGGCATCCCCTGGGCAACGTCCTTGCAGACGGCCAATTCTCTCACACCAGTTTCTCAAGTTGCTCCTGAAACGACCAAAAAAAAAAAACCTGTGTAGTTTACTTAAATTAAGCTTTTTGTAACTTTAACTGCTGATTTTGCTCCTTAAATGTGGTATTTCATGGTTCCTCCTGATATGTGCATCTCTCTGCTAACAAACCCAATGCTCTTGGATAGCAACCCTCTGCGATTTGTGTGAATTTCAGGCTTCAGTGAGCATCTCACTGGAATGAGTACTGATGAGTGATTTTTTTTCACTCCACACTGATCTTCTTTCATGCCAATCACAAGGGGGCCAGTCATTTTTTTCTTTCACTGCAGTCACAAATAAACTGACCCAACACTTCCAAAACTGTGTAGCAGTGACTGAAGAGACAGCAACTTTGTATGGAAAGCGCTGATTAGAGTGTGGGCCAACAATAGTTTTAATTTAATACCACCAGAGTGCGTAATTTTTGACTCGCTCTCCTATTTTTCTTTTCTCCCTTCCCCTTGTACATGTATTAGCTAGCAGCAGCCAAGCCACTTCTCTCCTTTAGTTTTCCAGTGACATCAGAGGGGGCCACTTCACCCAGCAGCAGCCCATCCTTCTTCACCAATCTGCTCTGCCCTGGGCTCAAAAGATTATTATAGGCTGAGTACCCCTCATGTATAATTTCAAAGTTGTGACATCTTTGCTTTCTGGTGGTTCAGGGTATGCACACATTATTCCATGCACAAATTATGTAAAATACTGTATACTGTGGTGTTGGGAGGAAAATTCTGAGAGTGCCTTGGACCGCGAGAAGATCCAACCAGACATACTTCAGGAAATAAAGCCCAACTGTTCACTGGAGGGAAGGATATTAGAGGAAATGATGAGAAGACAGGAAGGCTTAGAGAAGACAATTATGCTGGGGAAAATGGAAGGAAAAAGGGGCTGACCAAGGGTAAGTTGGATGGATGGCATCCTTGAAGTGACTGGCTTGACTCTGAAGGAGCTGGGGGAGGTGACGGCCGAAAG